GAATAGAATAGAATAGAATAGAATAGAATAGAATAGAATAGAATAGGGGATGGGTTGGGTTGGGTTGGGTTGGAATAGGATAGGGGCTAGGATAGACTAGAACAACAGAACACAACGCAGAATAGAATGGAATAGAATAGAAAATAGAATAGAATCTAGAGAATAGAACAGAATAGAATAACAGAGTTGGAAGGGACCTTGGAGGTCTTCTAGTCCAACCCCCTCCTCAGGGAGGAAACCCTACATCATTTCAGACAAATTTCAGTTGTCCGATCTCTTCTTAACAACTTCCACTGTTGAAGCATCCACCACATCCGGAGGCAAGACTGAATCGTGAGAAATCAGGGTTTTTTTTGTTTTTTTTTTAAAGCCCATTTAGGTCCGCCGCCACCTGAGAATCTCAGTTGACCTCTTCCAAAGTAGCATCCGGGATTGTCTCAAGACGGAAGCCCTGTGCGGTTCCTCACTCTCCATTGTGAACTCCAAGTACCTCAAGCGGGGGTGGGGGGGCGGGGGGGGGGTGGAGGAATGTCAAAAGGATAGCATGTGGGAGATGTTATCCGTGTCCCGGCGGGACGGTTATTGAAATGAAGGTGGGGGAGAGCGAGGTCTCGGGAGAATAACGGGAGGCGGCCCTGTTTGCTGGAAGCCCTCTAGATAAAGGCTGGGAACAGATGGAGGGAGGCCACAAAGGGGAGGGCAAATGCCAGGGACGGGGTGTGTGTGGGTGTGCGGGATGAGGTTGTGGAGGGCTTTGAAGGACACAGCAACCGGGGGGGCGGGAGCGTTCTGCAGGGAGTAGCAAACCCCCACCAAGCCTCCTTAACGAACCACGGAAAGTCCCTGAAGAGCAGACTCAAAGCAATGCTCGGGTAGCAAGGGTTGCAAAAGCAAGAATGACAGAACCCAACTTTTTTTGAGTGGTGCCTTTTGCAGCTCTGGATTTGCCTGCAGTTCCATTCTTGTGTTCTTCTCTCTTTGAAAAGAGCAGAGCAGGAGAAATCCCATGTCATTTCACAGTAGAGTAGAGTAGAGTAGAACAGAATAGGAATAGAATAGAGTAGAGTAGAGTAGAGTAGAGTAGAACAGAATAGGAATAGAATAGGAGTA